AATAGATACTGGTACTTCATAATCCATAGCTGCATACAGTGACTGATCATGTGATTCAACTACTATAAATAACCATGTGCAGTAGTGCAGTAAGTTATTTTAATGCCATTAAGGCACAGTTTGCCTATGCTGTACAGGTAATATTTGACAATGACTGTGGCTAATAATAATAATAAATAAACTGCATAGATAAACTCACTATATGATGCATACAGTAAAATTATATTTATAAACTAATTTGAAAAAATATAAGTAAATGTTGCTGTCAGAGCTGGAACTGCTTCTTTATAAGGACAACAATGAATGATAGTATCACATGATACCAGTCCACTAATAGCATAACAAGTACACTTGAAATTAAGATCTGGATCATTAAGCTTTTCAATGACTCCCAAAAACAGTAGAAATTTATGTAGCATTACCCGAATAATACAAATACATAATTATTCTGCAAAAATAAAATAAAATAATAGTACAAACATTTGGTAGATCTCTTTATTATAATTAGTATAGTTCAATCATGTGAGTTCATGTGGGCTCTTAAGTGAGTTATTCTAGACTTTCTCAGTACACCAAATTTTCATGTCATTATTTTCCTTGTCAATTTTTAATGGTCAAAAATTTAAATCAGATAAAGATATTAAATTAAAGGTATATTATTTGAATTCATCAAACAAAAATTACTGCACAGAGAGAATGGAGTTAGAAAATTTACTTTGAAAAGTACAATAAGTATAATAGTATTCACACCTTGTAGGGATGGTACTATAACTGTAGCAAAGAGGAAATATTGATGATTTTCTTAGCCTTTCAATGATTGTATCATTAGATAAATACATCTCGTCTGGACGTGCTTTAACCTGATGTGCTATAGTACTATGATTAAACTGTCCTGTACCAATTGGGGTAACTCTACCAAATGATGATAGTATTATATGAGTCTGAAAGGTAATGGTAAGTTACTATAAAATATAATAAAACTCACTGTATTAGCATATGGTATTGGTGCTAGCTGACAGAATTCGATATCAAAATTAAACATAGAAAGAGAACATGCTACAAAACTGTTGGTACAGTCACCATGATTGATAGTTATTGATGATGTTAGGTTTAATCCAGTTAGTGCAGGTATTCTTGGTTTATTAGACTCAGTTATCAATGACTGTAATGATTCATTAATAATTTTAATCTGATACGTATAATCATTGAGCTGTTTCAATATATCACTGGTTGACATGTTCTAACAAATAATAATAATACTAATAGATGAAAATTCTTGAACTTACTTTATCTTGCATCAGTTTATCTATCTCTTCACTTATAAATGATATTGACTCCCTTATAGCCTATATGATTACATAGAGAGACACATACCCATTACACATAACCCATTAGTGTGTGACATATTATATGCCAATTATTAAGAGTATGTGACATCACTGACATATACCCATTACACAGTGTGTGACATATATAGTGTGTGTGACATTACTGTCTTAGTGTATAGTCCTTACTGTTAAACTTGAAGTGTTTATATCTACATAGAATGTATATATATTATAATAATTAAACACATACACTCACTATTATTAGTGCAGGTGGTACAGTTGAGCCCTGATGTCTCCCTTGCAGTAATCCTGTTATTAGTTGAATTATTTGATGCTATTGTAGTTAGAGATGATGATGAAGTTGAGTTATTAACTACACCAGACATCAATAACGATGACAGTATAATAACAGTAACTGTAATTAGAACAGTCAATGTGGCCAGTAATGCTAGTATATACTCCCAGTTGGTTAGTTCTTCATTGAAATATGATCTTATTCTCTTGTTTGTCCTTTTAATATGAACTGAAGGACTCACTGTAGTAGTTGTAGTTTTTAGATCAACTGGTAGATATGAGGTGTTCCTAGTAAATGTATTGATAAAGTGAAGTTGAGTTCAATTTTATTTCTAACCTTTTTGTACAAATCTTATTTGCATCAAAAGTATCATAATATTCCCTTTCTAATTCTACCTGTGAATCAATATATAATCAAAATAATAAACTTTATTCTTAACTGGTTGATAGGAAGGATTAGTAGTTACTGGTGTAGCTAATAGCTGATTATTATTAGTAGAGAGAGGTACATGATCAGAGTAGCTAGGATTAGAGGAGACAGGAACTTCATAATCAGACACTGGAGCTTGTTGAATAGATACTGGTACTTCATAATCCATAGCTGCATACAGTGACTGATCATGTGATTCAACTACTATAAATAACCATGTGCAGTAGTGCAGTAAGTTATTTTAATGCCATTAAGGCACAGTTTGCCTATGCTGTACAGGTAATATTTGACAATGACTGTGGCTAATAATAATAATAAATAAACT